AAAGAAAAGTTTTTTTTTTTGACTAATGAGAGATTTAGATGCATGCTATTAAAGAATTGACTATGATCAAAAGTATTCTTAATTTATGATAAGTGTTCTTTTAATGATGTTTTCGGAAACGTTCTATAAGAATATAGTTAAAAGGAATACTACTACAATATATATCAATTATGTATTCATTATTTAGAAAGAGTGCGCTTAACAACATTTCTAAGTACTTATTTCCGAAATATTTCTTTGTTATTTATCATATGCATATATATATATATGTAAGAATTAAGCTCCTCCTGGCAAACATTGCAATTTTCGTCAAAAAATTCGGTTTTGAGGTTTTTTGTATATGATTGAGTAATCCGCAATATCAGGAATTACTGATGATGCTGGAATAAGGAGAAATGTTTTTTTTTTAATGAAAATGTTAGGTCTTGGTATCTTTTGAACTTTTTTCAAGGTTTCTCATAGTAGAGAATCTAGCAAATATGTGTGACATAATTAGGAAGCGCTGTAAATCTTTGAACAAAAGAACTCATACCCTGTATTTCTTTTTCTACCAGTATTCATTTAATTATATCATTATTTTGACTATATTATTATGCCAAAAGAGACGTCTTTTGATATAAGAATGTGTTCTCGTCTCTTTCTTCAGCTTTATTATCTCACATCTATATTCATTCCTGTCTTCTTATCTTTTGTTTTTTTTCAACAACTGGTATTGTTGATGTGGGTGTGAATTGGTGACATAAATATTCTCACGTATATCTTACATATTTTTCTATTCTAGACTCAAATTTTTCAATACTGTACAAGTTTCCGAGTGATTCGTCGTAATTGATAATATATGGTAGATTATGATTGATATGTTTTCTCTAGTGTTTTATTAAATAGGAACATTGTTTTTCAATTGTAAACTTTATCTGAAGATATAGTGGCAAGTGTTGACTACATTTTGACATCAATCAGAGATTTATATCATTAGCTTTTTGGAAAGAAATGTAGAACACGCAATGACCTACTTCTTGACCTTTAATATAAGGATAATTCTTGAACAACTTAATATTTTGGATTAAAATTTAGATAGTTTGTTATTTCTTTGAAAAGATGATTGTATCTCAAACTTATTTAATATTCAAGAATGAATATATGCATATATATATATGTATCATTCAGTAGATTGATATGAAAGTAAAACAAGAACTGTTTGACCTCGGAGACAAATATAGATATAGTGAATATCATATAAATTTTGAGAAATATCAATTCCATTTTTAAAAAAAAACTATATTATTTAAAGTTATATATAATTGATTAATTTCAAAATATATGATTAAATTTAGATCTATCCACGAGTAAATATAAACATGAAAGAAATGAACTTTTCGTACAATCTAAGAAACATTCTATGAAAAAAAAAAAAGAAAAGTTTGTCTGTTACTATTGACACAAATGACATAGCAAAATATTAGAGATAAATATTGATTTATCATTGATTTGATATGCTCAATGTCATATGCATGAGTGCATTGCATTATATTGTACTCATATGTCTTTCTGAAGCTTCATCTGAAATTGTAAGTATTCTATTAATATACTATGAATAAATTACAAACTACGTGCACACTTTTTTGATCGAAAATGATGGATTCAATGTAAAATACTTCAGTAGAGAATACGCAAACAAAAAAAAAACAATTAATCCTAAGAAAATGAAATTATTGGTTTTTTTTTTTGCTTCGTCATGATGAAAGACAGAAATTTTATGATGCATATCGTTCGAATTTCTAATCTTTATAATTTCCATCGAGATTTCTATATTAATTATCTATTTTAATTTTAATATACTGTATACATGTTTTAATAATACTCATTCTATCACATAATCAACCATATGCCACAGAAAAAAAAACAAGACAAAGAATAAGAATATATTGAGTATATTTGATAATATATTGTCCTCATTGACCGCAGATAGTATATGTATCAAAATACATTCATCATTATTAATGTAAATTTAGCTACTAAGATAAAATACAAGAAATAAAACGTGTTTTTTTTTTATAGAAATAATTCTTATATATATATATAATAATTAAATTAGTGTTACTCAATTAATTTGATTCATGTTTTTCTTCATCAAATTATATCTACTATCTTATAATCATTTATGTCATAGACAAATGATAATTATAAATAAAATAAAAAAATTTTTCTTACTTAGAACATCATTAAATGCAAGTGAAAATGCTGCTAAAACACAGAAAATTAATAAATAATTGTATTCTGTTGGAGCAAAATAAAGAGCAATCCATGCACATAAATTAATTGCTGTAGTTACTAAAAGATATATAAGTCGATGATAACCACATATCGGTACAAAATCACTAAGAATTCCATAGAGTGGTTTGATAGACCAACTTAAAAAGTATAAATCAAAGAGAACATAGTATTCTTTTTTTTTTTTTGTTCTTTTATAAATCATATACTTACGTTACTGTACAGGTAAAGAAAAAAGTACCCATTTGAGATGGTGATAGATGAAGTCTATCTTTTAATATAGTTTGTAATGGTAAATTAACAAATCCAGATGCAATATCGGTTATTCCTTGAATGAAGTAAGCGAGTGCAAAATAAATAGCACTGCATAGGAGTGAACGAGTGCAAAGAATTTGCATACATTTATTTGTTCCATAATCTTTTTTACTATCATCAGTTGATGTTGTTGGTTCATCGAGGGATTTTGATGGTTCTTCGAACATATCGATAAATTCAATTAATAATCTAAAATTTTACAATAAAATTAATTTGAATCAAGAAAGAAAATATGAACTTTAAACATAATTTGATGAATCAAGATGTGAGAAAGAAACAGAACAAAGTGAGCCGTTGTTTATTCTATTTCATGATGTTATTATAAGCGGCAGTCTTTGTTTTTTCCTGTCTCGATGCAGAGAATAAGGACATGAACAGATGAAGAAAAAAAAAAATTAGTCTTCATGATGACGTATTATATACTCACGTAGTATAATAAAAAAAATTTTTTTTTCTTTTCTCTCATCTATGACTATCAAGTTGTAACCAGTTCGACGACAACAGGCGGCTGTTACATATGTTTGAAGTGTTCGATCGAGCAAGGTTAATGATTAGCATCAATGAAAAAGAAAAAAAGAAAAAATAAAACGTATCTAAATTTGACACTTGTCTATCTTAAAATGGTGTATAACTATTGTATTTAAGTAAAAAATCATATACTTTGTTCTTATAATAATACTTTACTATTATTATCATCATATGTTTTTGTATAATATTCAAAATCAATCATGGTTATCTTGTTGAAAAGAATAAAATTTATTCGTACATTGATGTCAAGTTAATGAGGAGTAGTAGTAGCTCGTTTTAACAGATTATTTGGTAAGTGAAATTAACTATAGAATATTGAATAGACAAAATGTGACTATTCGTTTGCGAATGAATAAGAAAAAGTTAAGAGCTAAATACATTGAAAGACTGCAATACAATTACAGAAAGCATCGCTCATCTGTTTTAGTGAAATGAATGCACGAATCACATTCAAGTAACCGATAATGAGAGAAAGGGAAAAGCAGACACATATGAATCTAGAGATGTCCTGAGTTTGCCAAGATTAAGCAGAAGTCAAGTGTTTTTTTTTTTTTGAGAATTGATAAGTTAAAAAAAAAAACGAAAACTTCTCAAAATTGAGAGAGTAATCACCTACCTTGACTACTTGTGTATGAATCTAACTTATATTATAATAATTTTATAAAGCGCCATCTATGTTCATAGCTAGTATTTTGTGTTAGTTCTACATCTGACGTTCAATTCGAAGCTTTTTATCCTAATGTTTTGCACTAAAAGGTCATATAGACTTGTTCTTTCCGTACATTTTTTCTTTCGCCTAAGATGAAAATATTTTTGTATTAGTAATAGAAATGCACGTTCATAGGATTTGTTTTTATCTATATATTAGAATATATTCACAGATGATTTTGTAACTTAATTATGTAAAAAAAAAAATTTTTTTTTCCAGTTAGAAGAAGAAAAATATTATCTATGGTATGCAAATAATAAGTTTATCGTTTGTCATTTAAGACATGTGTCGTATTTAAATTATATTAATAACAGAAAAAAAGAAAAACTAAAAATATTTTTCATATGACCTCAAAGAACATATTATGCCATCGTTAGAAATAATTTATTATATTATATAGGGTGTCCAGAAAATGACTAGAGTTAGAAAAAATTGCATATCTCTCTGCTACGGCTCGAGCAAACAGGCTGATTTTTCTACCAATAATAGAAGCATGTTCACACTTTAAATCCATACAGACAAGATTAGAAAGAGCCTTTGTTAAGTACCACCAACGACCTCAACAAAAAAATTTTACTTTTTCACAGATAAGAAAAAAAACAATAGACTTAACAAAGGATCTCTCTAGGCATGTCTTTATGAGTATAAAGCTTGGACATGCCTCTATCATTGATAAAAGAATCAGCTCTTTTGCTCGAGCCATAGTGAAGATATTCAATTTTTTTGCGGCAAAGTGACTTTTGCGCTACTCCGTATAGTGTTCTTTTCCTATCTGTGAAAAAGTAAAATTTTTTTTGTTGAGGTCGTTGGTGGTACTTAACAAAGGCTCTTTCTAATCTTGTCTGTATGGATTTAAAGTGTGAACATGCTTCTATTATTGGTAGAAAAATCAGCCTGTTTGCTCGAGCCGTAGCAGAGAGATATGCAATTTTTTCTAACTCTAGTCATTTTCTGGACACCCTATATGAAGACTCACTTTTTCTTTTCTCTCTTTTTTTTTTAAATAAAGAAAAAAAAAGAAAGAACATGTGTTGATTATTATCTTTTATTTTTATGAAAGAATTTTACATTGAAACAAAAAACCTTATAAAAGATTATCGTATAAATAATATCTTGTCAAAATGATTATTTTTTTTTTTTTTTTTTACATTTAATTAAATATGAACTTTTTTCTAGTTTATTCAACTTCATCAAATATTTGTTCATCATGTGTCGTTTGTCGTGTTCGTCGACGTAAACGTTGTCCTCGTCGTCTTGACATAATGAATGAATCTTGTTGCATATATGACAATGGTGGTGGTGGTGATGATGATGATCTTGTTGGTGATAGAAGTTGATGTGGAAAATGTTTTTTTGTTCCATTTCCATCAAGAATTTGTGTAAGACAACTTATATAATGAATAGCAAGACGAAGTGTAGCTATTTTTGATAAACGTTGATGATCATGTAAATTAGCTTTTGGTACAACACGACGTAATTCATCAAATGCTTCATTTAATGCATGCATTCGATTTCGTTCACGTACCGTTGGTGGTGGTACTGATGATGATGATGCTGATGCTGATGGTATTGAAGAAGATCTTATTGATGAATTTGTTATTGTTGTTGATGATTGTATAAAAGGCCATGTATCAGTATTGTCATCCATGTTATATCGTAATTTTTAAAAGAATTTATGTTTGTAGAGAAAGAATTTCTTTGTATTTTTTTTCTTCTCGGAAATCTATTTGATTGGATATCTAATTGATAGATAAAAATAATGTCGATAAACAGATATCGAAATATATAAAGAATTATCGATTGCTAATTGTATGTTAGGCGAAGAGAGATGAGAATTAAAGAAAAAAAAAAACTAATGTTTATCTTCGAACAATCAATATGAATGATCTGGTCAATGAGGCGACACAAATACATTTGATTATCTATTTTATAGCAAAGAAAAAAAAAAAAATAATACTTCACTTTCTGCTTCATTCAATATAACGAATGATTATTATCGAAGGAATTGGACTCAGATAAGATATTTGATTTGTTTCTTGTAGAAATATATTTTATTGAAAGTAAATATCGTTTGTTATTAGTTTATTAAACTCTATGATATTGACTCATCATGATAAATAGGTTAAAAATAATTCATTTGATTCATATATTTTTGAAATTTAATAGTTTCAATTTTCATTTTTAGAATAGAAATGATTGATTTATTTTTCAATAGTTTAGAATTATTTTTCGAATGGATCTATCAGCTATTTCAAAGATGTTAACAAGGAGAATTCTTTCAAAGTGATTCGTTGCTTTTGAAATTCATGCTATGATTTGAATTAGATAGAGAAGTTTTATTGAAATCTCCCTGTATAACTAAATTTCAGAACTATTTCTGGTGGCATAACCGAGATATGAATTTTTTAAAATATTTACGTTTTATACAATACCTATAAAAAAAATGCCTATATTTTGAAAAACTTATATCTCGGTTATGCTTCGTGAAATAGTTCTGAAATCTAGTTATACAGAAAAATTTCAATAAAACTTTTCTATTTCATTTAAATCACAGTATGAGCTCAAAAGCGACGAATTACTTCGAACGGTTTTCTTTTTGACTATAGATTAATCTATATATTTCATTACAATCATAATTTATTACTAATATTTTATTTATCATTTGTTGATATATAGATGTATGATATTATTATATTTCCATCGTCATTATTTTTTGTTTTAATGAACTATAAATGTTTTCTATAGACCAAACATCGATCAGTTTTGCATCAGAATTTTTCAGGTTCAATAACATTCAAGGTCATATGCATCCTTTGTTTATGAACTCGATCATCATGAAAAATAATATAGCATAGATAATCTAATATTATAGCTGTTTTTCTGCTACAATAATTTGAATGAGTCTCTCATATCTGTTACGAAGAAAATAGATTTTTTTTTGTCGGATGATCATGACCTTATGGTTTGATGAGTTCTAATCATTGATTGATAAAACTTGGATTCATAGTAAAATCTAGTGAGGTGAAGCTTTGTATTTATTTCGTATTAACAAGGCAACCACCAAAACTGATACTCGTTGTTTGAACCTATAAGGACGCCTTGGTGAGACTAGGAAAAGTCTAAAAAGATTCATCTATATGAACCTTTACAACCAAGTGATGATCGTTTTACTGAATGATCGACCTAGTTTAAGGTATATGCTGAAAAAAAGAATCATTTTCAATATAAAATTCTGCACATAGATAGGCCGAAATATTCAATTTCCAAAAAAACCTACTCGTTTACCACAGACATGGTACCAAAATCGAGTATACTTGAAAATTTAATATCTCGACAGAGAAAGATTCTACTGTTCATTCGATTTATCTATGGGCAAGATTGCATGTCAAAATTCTGTAGTTCGATTTTTCGGTGTTTACCTAAACCTGAGTACAAAAATTCAGTGAAACGCTCCTAACTCAACTTCAAAGATCCATGGAGATGAATCCTTTTAGACTTTTATTAGTCTCATCAAAGGCTTCCTTGTAGACTTAATATAACCTCAGGCGTCAGGTATCAATTCAAGTAGTACTCTTGTAAACCGGTACAATAATCCGTCTAAAAATATAGATTGCTTTTCTTTTTGCCTAAAAAAAAAGTAAACATTCATGACTATATTTATCATCTGTTACTAAATATAATTCCTAATTTTTTTTTTTTTTTGAAGGATTATTTATTAAGACATATTAATATTCTATTAAACACATTCTTAGTGTGATAATTGATTATAAAACTGAATTAAGTAAAGGTATATCAATAACAAGTACACCATCTTCCGTAACTTGTGATGTAACATTATATTTATCAATACCATCCGGTAAACGAATACTTTGACTAAAGTGTTTTGTTTCATTTTTTTTTGTATTTAATGCAAATTTTTTTTTTCCTTGTACTAATAAATTATTATCAAGTAAACGTACAGTTAATTCATCTGGATCATATCCACGTGTATCAACTTTTAATATTAATTTTTTTCCATTTGGTGTAAATGATGGACGAAATTTTGAGTGTAAAAATTCAGCTATATTAAAGTTAGAAGAATTTTGTGAATATTGACGATATTCAAGATCACCAAGACTACCTGTTCGTTTTGGTATTGTTGATGGTGATGGTCGTATTGATTGATGATTAGATTTTATAACATCAGCATTTGATATTGAACGATCATATTCATTTTTCGTTGATCGTAATGTTTGATCATCAATTGTTTTTAATAATTCTTCATGTGAACGTCGTATAGCATCATTATCTTTTAACATAGGTATATCAATTGATAATATACCTGTATTTCGTATAACAGAACGTATTTTGTCAACATCAGCACCTATTGGTAAAGGAAATGTTTTAACTAATTCTTTACGAAAAAAATTGTCTGCTGCAAATTGATCAAGATGCAATGCATGTACAAGTAATGTATTATCACGTCGAAGTTTAACAGATATTTCACCACGAGAAAATTCTGAAACATTTACTTCAATACGAGTTGTTTCAGATGATGGTAATGTTTTTTGCATTTGTTTTTTTTTTTTTTTTTTTTTAAGATACAAAAAGTTTTCCTACGGAAAAAAAAGAAGTATTCAAAATTAAATTTCATATGTAAAAATAGTGGAAAATTACCGTTTGCTATAAAAAAAAAACAAAACTAAACAAAAAAAGTATTTTTCGAACAAATTATCTTACACGTGGAAGTCAACAGATCTTATCTATCGAATACATAATAAATTGTAAAACTCAATGAGTATTTATCTTATATATAATTAAAATAGATTATAGCTTCTTAAAAGTCACTAGAAGATTTAAATATAGATTTCAAATCTAAGAATATCTTATTAATAAAATATGTCCTCAGTTAGGGGAGGAATAATGAGAGGTTAAGTTTTACAATAGCTTGTTGTGAGGATCAGTGAATAAAATTAACAAAGAAAATTGTTGAATTTTGTTGAGAAAAAACAAAAAATTTTCCAAGATTGAAGGTGAAAGAAGTCATTCTGACTCCTCCCGTTTGGAACGTCTCCAAATGTTCGATGCCCTTTTCAAGACGTTTAATTTTCTCTTTAGTTGTATGATGATGAAAGTTTCATATACGGTATTCTAATTATGAGCTGTATTAACTAATAATCTACTTTGATTTAAAACGATGCATGACATCGAACAAGTAACCTTTATTTATAGATACAGCAAAAAAAAAAGAAAATCCGGTGTTTGCATGGTTGATAATGAACTCATAAAAGGATCATTCAAAATATTTATTTTCAGTATAGAAATAAAATTTCCCTAAGAATTTAACAGCGGATATTTTTATTGATGTTATTATTTAGATGAATAATTTATACAGACAAATATTCATTATACATTTTTTTTTCATATTGTAAGAACATCTACTCTTCAAAACAAATCTTTATAATAATAACAGCAACATTAGATTTTCTATAGTTTCCGGCAATTACGAGGCAAAAAAAAAACAGACGGAAACTTGATCATACTATTCTTTAAGAATCTGATCGAATGCAAAAGAAAAAAAAAAAAAGTTCTCTTGTATCCAATGATAAAATATCAGTACAATCGGAATTAATTAAGACACAAGGAAAAAAATTATTCTTATACTACAAGAATTTAATACAATGTATATACAAACCATGAAGGATCTCTTTTTTTTTCTAGAGGTTATGATATTGAAATCTACTTATATATATATATATATAATGTATAACATATGAGCTAATCACGTTTTTTTTTTCTTCTTCTTTTCATATTTGCATAAGTTGTCAAATAACAGACTCTAAAATACAAGGACTATTTATATTAAATATAAAAGAATGAGATTATGATATAGTATAACTTTTAGTGTTCTATATTATGTAAAACAAGAATTAATTTGTTTTACATGTTATAGTTTTCCCTTATAGAATAATTTTATATATCCAATCATATGAATTGCGTGACTCTTGAGCCGAATGCTAGAAGATCATTAATAATAGTTGATGTTTTTCTCTTCCCGGTAGCAAATTTTACTTCATTTACTGATTTTCTTCTCCTCTCGTTTTTCATCATTAAGTTGGCAATCTGACTCGATTGTTGTTGTTTTTTTTTTCTTCTCGGTATATATTAACATGTTTGAGGCAGTTAATAATATTCCGAACGACAAGAAAACGTCCTACATAGCACATCTTTATCATCAACAATATAAGTATAGATGAATTCAAGGTCTTGATGAAATGTTGATAGAAAAATCTTACTTAATCTTCGAGTCACATAATAACAAAAAACAAAAAAAAAAAAAAGAAAGAAAATCTTATTCATATGGTTAGAATAATAAGAATATAGATTGAAAGAGAAAGTAAATATTAAATGAACAATGTTTGACTTATAATTTATGTCATAGAGCAAAGAAGGAAATATGAATTTGAATTTTTTTCTTTTTTGCTGTTCTTCATTATTGATTTTTAAGTGTGCAAAAAAAAAAAAAGATTTTGAAAACATTTGAACAGTTAATAAATTACAATCATCTATCGATGTGTGATTTTCTTTAGAATTCTTATCGAAAAAACAAATTGTCAATTATTCTTCTTTGATATATCGTTTCTTTTTGTTGTTTTTTTTTTTAATTTTCTTGCTATTGTTTTCTTATGAATCTGATGATAATTATTTCCTTTTATTAGTGCCTTTTGAAATGTATGATTTTCATAAGAGAATGCTATGAATAGAATTGTGTTCATCAACATACCTAGATGATTAATGAAACGATTGCTTATGACACAGTCACTTTGTTTTAAATACTATTGCTTTTGTTGTATTCTTCAAGTATTATCAAAAATAAAAAATTAGTTGACAAGTTACTTTATTGTTGCTGTCGTCGTCAATAAAACACTAATAAGTAATATCCTCACCTCTTAACTGTCTAATGAGTACACAAGAGAGTAGCATACTTTATGGAAAGAATATGTAATGTACGTGTGTGTAGTTTTTTTTTTCCTCTCTCGCTCTTCTTCTTCTTCTCTTTCTAATAGAGAGAGAGAGAATAAAATAAGAAGAAAAAAAGGACTAAGATCGTTGTAGCTTTACTGCCGTCTATTAAAAACCCGGTTCTGATGAGCTGAAAAAAAAAAGACGAAGAAAAGAAAAGGCAAAAATAATGGTTTTACTCGCTCGAGAAGAAGTTATTTATCGGACGATTCTCGTTTCTTCACTGTTCTATAGTACAATTAGTGAGAAATATCTTCTTTCAACACTTTTTTGTCACCTATCCATCTGAAGCCTATATATATATATATATGTTATAATGTATACCTTTTGATTATATGAATGTCATCAAATGGGGGCATTAATTTTTTGTCAAACCACAATACAATGTATTAATATTTGAAGAAGTGCGTGCATCTATCTAAGGCTTCTTACTTAATTTTATAAAAACAAGCTTTTGTGAAATATGTATAATCTCATAGTTAATATTTAGTTCTTCAAAATAAAAGGAAAGATAACACGAAGGACATATGTTGATTAGTAGAATCTGATTGACGAAAATAGAATAATCTTTGATAAGATAGAAACGATAAAACGATTAATATTTATCAATGTATATGTATTTTTCTTTTTTTCTTTTTTCTTTTTTTAATAAAATTAAGAATGATTAGTACATATATTTGTTAACAAGATTTTCTTTCATCAATATTGTTTATATTGAATTAAAAATGTTAATATTTGTAATAAGTGAAACAAAAACAAAACTAAAAAAGAACAATTTGATTTAATAAATAAGACACAAACAAAAACAAAAAAAACACTTTCGTCTTATTTTCTTTTTCAAACAAGAATATTCTTATCTCTTAATGTTCTTCAACAAACGAAATTATCAAGGGAAAATTTACGGAAATTGTCCATTATCTTTTATGAGATTTGCTATCTTTAGTGAATGATAAGAATTTCATATGACATAAAAGTAATTAATTACAAATATGCGCAATTCACAAAGTTAATCATCTTTGCTCGAGTAATAACCTCTGACAAGAAAAACAAAAAAATTAGAAAATTCAAAGATGCATAAAATAATATAAAATATAAATCAATATTAAAATATTATTACGAGCTAATATGTAATTGTAATCTATATTTAGTAATAAATCAATATGAATTATTTAAAATTTAATGCATAAATAAAATAATGTTGATTGATTTCTTTATAATATTGGTTTTTTTGATTATTGTATATATTACAATTGCACTCAAGCTGTTATGTAGTTTTATAAAGTTATATTTGAATAAAACAATCTGATAGGCAGATGTTCATTGTATACTTAAGTACTTCTTTTATAACAATAAATAAAATATAAATTTATTAAATTTCTGAATAAACGTTCCATAGAAATATAAAATTGATAAAAATAATCGTTATGAACAATTCATAAAACGAAGTGAGAGTACAAGAAATGACGTCAATATTTATAGTTTTTTTTTTTTTTTAGTTTTGACTGTGATGTGTCTTCTGCTATGGATATACATCTATCAATCATAACACCCACTGACATTCAGCTACAACATGTCAGACTAATTACAATTCAGCCATGATATGTGAAACAGTAAAAATGTAAATTTTTCTGACGTTGCAGATGTTTATAAAGATGATATATATATATATATTGTCACAAAAAAAATTCTTTTCGTTGTTTATTGAAAATTTTTCTTGGGAATTTTTAGTAAATTAGTCAATTTCAAATCTGAAAATAACAATCTTAATATTCTTTCTTTAATAAGGAGGATAAAAAAAACCAAGCACAAATTTTCTAATTATTATTTTGTTTAAAAATGTATATAAATTCTTTATTTCAAAATCGATTCTGAGATACGAATATTTGAATGTTATGAAATTTTCAACTCAATATATCACGATGTATTTATTAAACAAAAGTTGAAATAACTAAATTAACAACTTGAAATTCTCTATGGACCTTCAATCTATATATTTACTTTTTCCTTTATTTGAAAGAGTATATCAGACTGTAGGGCTTGTCAAAGTGTTATTTTTTTTTTTTTTGTTAGATCTTTTACTTATTTCTTAGAGGGGAAAAAAATTGACATTTTTTAATCATTTTTTGCATCACTGCACTTGTCAACCTCGTCATTCAAAGAAAGAAAGTAAGGATTAGTACAATACTAATCTGACAAGTCTGTTGATATGACATACTCTTTAAATTAAAAGAAAAAAATAATAAATCTATAGAGAATTTAAGTTTTTAAATTAACTATTTTGAAGGAAGGAATAGGAATTAATCAATAATATTATCTGTTGATTATTCTTATAATAGAAAATCTAAGAAAACGAAAAAAAAAAGAATGATTTTTCTTCGTATTAACAACACACACATTTTTATTAAACATAGATTAAAGAAAATTATTTATCTGACTAATATAGACATATATGTTCCATAAATTTTGTTATCAAAATTTATTAACCGATTGAGTTCGTAAACGTAAATCTAATGGTTGATCATCATCAATTGTATTTGTTTCATTTGTTAAT